CCGTACCGGACCGGGACCGGCAACGGGATCGCAACCCTCGGTGTTGCACCCGCCCCTTGCTCAGCCAGTGAGCGGAAACCGGTCTGTATGTGGGATCCGAACCTTCGGCGGGAGCGCCGCCATGCTCCCAAGCAGCGCACTGTAGCAGTGCGCCACTGGGCCGGCCCTATCTTTTATTTCTTAATTGAGTTTTTGAGAGCCCTTTGTCTGATTTGTATACAAGTCCTTTATCAGATAGATGATTTGCTTTAGCGTGTTGGGACCACAGCAGAGCTGCTGTCATGGTGCTTGTAGGTGTAAGGAATGGGAGAAGAGTAGTTTCCTCTCGCTGTGTTATGGGAAATTATATCTCCCTGTGTTTCCACCTGTAATGACAGAGCTGTGAGCACTTTCCTGCCCTGTTACAAAGGAATACCACATAAACGGGCCACCCCTTTTTTCTCTTTTTGTAGCTCTATCAACATACTCTTTGATATAAGTGCATCAGGGGATAACTCTCAAGTTTAAGGGGCAAAACTAAGTAGAAGTTGAGCCTGAAGAAGCCTTCTACACATTTTGAAGGCAGCCGAACAGGCATTCCAGATCACTGATGGTCCTACGCATCATGGTCTTACTGGGTGTTAGTACTCCCATTTTATGCATGAAGAAACAGGCTCAAGGAAGCTGAATTAATTGCACAGGGAGAGACAACCAGCAAATGGCAAAATTGGGGTGCACACCCAGATTTATCTCAAAGTCTGAGCATAGCCCATCATAGTCTGAGGCCTCTGTTCATCCTTCATCTCTAAATTCCCATTTAAACTTCCTTGAGGGGATTTGTTAGGTTTATGAGGGAGTAACGGACACATTTGTGTGGCCTAAATTTGTCCGGAGAACTTGCAGAATTTTGAGAATTCCTCTGCAGATCCTTGGGTTCCTGTTCGGGAGATGTGGGACTGGGGTCTCAGTGGCAGCCTGGAGGGCACTGGAGTCAGGGTCCCTGGCTGCAGTCCTACAGCTGCTGGCTTGCAGCTGGGGGCCCAGAGTGACAAATACCCTCATTCAGCCCATTCCCCAAATAGGGAAATGATATCATTTCCCTCTCAATTTCCTTTTAATGATTTTATTTGACAACGCAGGTAAAACGCACTTTGGAGAACATGGTAAAGTAACCGCTTTAAAGGCAGTAATCATGATGTCAACATTAGAAGGCACCGAAGTGCGATAACGTGAGGTGATGTTCATATGTCTAAAGGTCTTAGACATGTGAACTGTTCTAAGTGCAATGTAATGTGTTTGCTAAATTTAAAAATTTTAATTTGTACCAATGTAAAAGTTGGTGAAAAACAAAACTCATGCAGATTTTGAATAGGGGGAAAGGGAATCAGTTTTGTGATTGTAATTATTAAAGAAAGAAAGGATCTCAGAAAAGCATTATCTTTGTGAAATTGTACTAAGAATATGTGAGAAGTAATTACACTGCAAAATAGAAAACTCAAGGCTAATAGCATAATATATAAGCAGCTTTCCTTCTACAATGAGTGTGAATATACTAAAAAAAGTATTATTTGTTATGCCACTTTTTCATACATTTGTAGATTTTAAAATATATGTCAATGACCAATATTTTTTTTGATAGTTTTTTTAAATTTGAAGATAATTGATTATGTATATTTGGGGGATACAGAATCAAATATCAATACAGGTATACAGTATGTGGTGATCAAATCAGGATAATTAGTATACCCATGTTTACAAAACTTAATCTTTGTGACCCTTAACTAATTTCTCTTTTACACTCCTCCCCCTCCCCCTTTCCCATCTCTAATAACCACAGTTCTGTTCTCTCTCTTTTTTGTTTAACATTCAGTGTATTATTGTGATCCTTCCTTCCTTCCTTCCTTCCTTCCTTCCTTCCTTCCTTCCTTCCTTCCTTTATTTTAGCTCTCACTTATGAGTGATCACATGTCGTGTTTCTCTTTCTGTGCCTGGTTTTTTTCACTTAACATAATTTTCTCTAAGTTCATCCACGTTGCTGTGAATAGCAAAATTTCATTCTTTTTTACGGTAAAGTGGTTTTCCATTGAGGATATATACCACATTTTCCTTATCTAGTTGTTTGTCAATGAACAATTAGGTTGATTCCAACTCTTGCTATTATAAATAGAGCTGCAATAAGCATGGGAGTACAGGTATCCACTTGACATGCTGATTTCCATTCCTTTGGGGAAGTAACAGCAATGGGATTGCTGGATTGTATGAGGAACCTCCATGCTGTTTCCCATAAAGGCTGCACTTACTTACAGTTCCACCAACAGTGTAGGAGGGTTCCCCTTTCTCTACTTCTTTGCCAGCATTTGTTATTCTCTGTCTTTTTTATAATAGCCAATCTTAACTGACATGAGGTGATATCTCAATGTAGTTTTGATTTGCATTTCCCTAATGCTGAGTGATGTTGAGCATTTTTCATGTATCTGTTGGCCATTTGTATATTTTCATATGAGAAATGTCTATTCAGCTCCTTTGCCCATTTTTTACTTGGATTACTTGTTTTCTTACTGATGAGTTGTTTGAGTTCTTTGTATATTCTGGATATTAATCCTTCGTTGGATACATTGTTTGCAAATATTTTCTCCCATTCTGTTGGTTATCTTTTCTCTCTGTTAATTATTTCTTTTGCTGTGCAGAAGCTTTTTAGTTTGATATAATCCCATTTGTTTATTTTTTCTTTTGTTGCCTGTGCTTCTGGGGTCTTATTCATAAAGTCTTTGCCCAGTCCTATATCCTGAAGTGTTTCCCTGTGTTTTGTTTTAGAAGTTGTATAGTTTTAGGCCTTTTATTTAAGTCTTTAATCCATTTTGAGTTGATTTTGGTATATGGGGATAGGTACAGGTCTAGTTTCATTTTTCTACATATGGATGTTCAGTTTTCCAAGCACCATTTATGAAAGAGGCAGTCTTTTCCCCAATGTATGTTCTTGGTGCCTTTGTCAAAGATCAGTTGGCTGTAAGTATGTGGGTTGATTTCCAGGTTTTCTTTTCTGTTCCATTGGTCTGTCTGTTTTTCTGCCAGTACCATGCTGTTTTGCTTACTATAGCTTTATAACTTAATTTGAAGTCAGGGAGGGAGTGTTATGCCTCCAACTTTATTTTTTTGCTCAGTATTGCTTTGGCTATTTGAGGTCTTTTTTTGTTCCATATGAATGCTAGGGTCGTTTTTTCTATTTCTGTGAAGAATGTCATTGGTATTTTGATGGAGATTGCATTGAACCTGTAGATTGCTTTGGGTAGTATGGACATTTTCACAATGTTAATTCTTCCAATCCAAGAGCATGGAATATCTTTCCATCTTCTTGTTTCCTCTTTAATTTCTTTCAGCAGTGATTTCTAGTTCTCATTGTAGATATCTTTCATCTCCTTGGTTAAATTGATTCCTAGGTATTTCATTTTTTTGGTGACTATTTGTAAATAGGCTTGCTTTCTTGATTTCTTTTGCCTCTAGTTTGTTATTGAAGTATAAAAACACTACTGATTTTTGCATGTTGATGTTTTTATCCTGCAACTTTTCTGAAATCATTTATCAACTCTAAGAGTAGAATCTTTAGGTTTTTCTATATATAGGCTCATGTCATCTTCAAACAGGGACAGTTCGGCTTCATCTTGTCTAATCTGGATGCCTTTTATTTCTTTCTCTTGCCTAATTGCTCTGGCTAGTACTTCCAATATGATGTTAAATAGGAGTGGTGAGAGTGGGCATCCTTTTCTTTTTCCTGTCTTCATTCAGGATGATATTGGCAATGGGTTTGTCATTTATGGTTTTTGTTGTGTTGAGATACTTTCCTTCTATACCTAACTTGCTAAGAGTCTTTATCATGAAGGGATGTTGAATTTTGTCAAATGCTTTTTCTGTGTCTATTTAGATAATCATATGGTTTTTGTCTTTGATTTTGTTGATGTGGTGTTAAAATCTTTCTCCAAACATCTTCATTTTTAGGTAATAATTTACCCATTGGTGTGACTTTGCAATTTCTAGATGGACAAAAATGGTCAAAAATGAAGCTTAGATAAAATACCAAAGATGTAACTCAAATTGTGTGAAAACTACCCCAGTTCTCTTCACCGTGGCATAGTTTACAGAGACTTTGTCTCAGTTCTGCCCCTTGCTGTGTACCTTGAGCCTGGGTTAGGCCAACTTTAAGCCCACATTGTTTCCCTATATTATGATACCACAAGGAAAAGAACAGATGTTAAAGTTTAGCAATATAGATTTTGTGTTATTATCATAGCAGGACTTTCTGTGTCTTATTTGGCTTGCCTTCTTTATAATCCACTAGTGTTATTAGAGTTGGGAGCTCATTTTGCAGAAAATGCTGGGGGACATGGCTCTTCCTTGTCCTCCTCTCTTTCTTTTTCACCCTTCCTCTCCCATGCACATATCTACACAGTTGAAACAAACAGTATTGTGGATGATGGGTGGATCCATACAGTAACTAAATCAGGGGATAGGGTGCCAGGGAGGGGATGCAGCAGATGGGATGTGGTCAGGAGTATGCAGTGGTCCCTTCCTTTTAAAATGTTACCTTCACAGAGGAACATCACAGCAGTGGGTTACTGTCATGGGTCCAAGTCCTGGCCCATTTTATCTATCTGGTCATTTGTAATTTCATGATCTGAGTTCTCTGAGCTAAGAGAGAAGGTGGTTCCTTGCATCTTGGTGGCATTAGGATACAGCTCTCAGATGTTCTTTTTGTTGGCTGGACTTGGAGCTAGACAAAGGACAGAGACTGGAGTATGGGACCCTATGTTCCCAGGTAACTTAGATTATGCTTGGCTGAAGTTAATTATTACCCCTCTCACTTATTTAGCTGAGTGACTCTGGGAGCATATGGTTGAGCCACCTAAATGGTAAACCACCAAAGCATGCTTTGGGAGTACTGAATAATGATATTAGAGGGATTATACATGGGCTGTATCATGAATCTTATCAGATTCAAGCTAACGCACGCCTTTTTGTTTGAACAGAATGAAGTTCCTGAGGTGAAGAAGGAGGAGACTCTGCTGGATCTGGACTTTGACCCTTTCAAGCCTGAGGTGGCCCCTGTGGGTTCTGCCGGAGTGACCCACTCACCCATGTCTCAGGTATCAAATGCTTTTTGGATGTTTGGGGATGACAGTTCTTAAGCCTCAGTGAGCTCTGTAAGGGAGCAGATATTGCCTTTCTCTTGTGGATGACTTCAGTATCTACTTTTCTTTTTGGTTGGCAAATATTTTCTAATAGGAAGGAGAACCTCATTACCATCAGTGCCATTGGCTTTCTTTATACACAGAGCTGGTGTGGGGCCATGTGTTCCTGTTCTCCCAGGAACTGTCTCTCCCAGGGTCATTACTAGTAGTGCCCTCCTGCACTCAACAGTGTCCAGATTGGGATGATATGTTTTATGGCTTCCCTGGGTAAAGCTGCTTCTTTTGGCTTTGGGTTTACTCTTTTTACAGTTTTCTCTACTTTCCAGCCTCGTGCTTGGCAAGTGACATGTGTTTGAAGTGACCATGAGATTATGCCCCACAGACATGAATTTCAGTCTTGACTGTTCTGAACCAAATGATGTGCTCAGTCCGCACATGGCAGAGACTCTGCTGGTGGTGGTCTGATGCGGCACTGGCCTTCATTGCCCACACTTACCTTGCTCATCCCTTTCTCCTCTCCACGGTTCTCCCGTCCCAGTAGTTACTGTGACAGCATTCTCTGTCAGAGGGACACTGGCCATAGGTGCTGTAATGACCTGTGGGTGATTCTTCAGGAATATAATTAGTTCACAGTTGTCTCTGCTAATGGAAGTAAGTTCACTCAAAGTCTGGCAAAGCAGAAATTGTTTATATCAGTAAACAATTTGGGTGTTTGGGGTCTCACATTTGAATTTGGGCAAATCCAAAGATGCTAGAATAAAAGGTACTTCAAAAAGTTCATGGAGAGATTTGCATTATTTTCTAATTCTATTTTCCACAATTTTTTGAAGTTCCCTTGTGTATTTTGAATTAATTTATGAAAGTGTATTATAAAACTCAGTTTAAGAATGAGGACCTAGCTTAGTTTCCTGGTCTTGAGGTCTTGTTGGCACTTTACGGTAAACCACTTGGGCACAAACAGCTCAGTGTAGTCCTCAGTAAATCAGGCTTTCCTCTAATCCATGCTCTGTTCTAGAATGTGATTGGGTTTATAAACTCCTCCCTGTTATAGGAACCATAAAAGTCTAAGATGTTGGTAAAGTAGGAAATCAAGTAGACCAGACGCTAGCCTTAAAGGTGATTTGCAGAACTGGGTCTCTTAGATGAATGTTTCAGGAAGCTCGCTCTCTATTAATGCTCTTCTAGGAGATTCACAATGTCTATTTGAATATTAAAATCTCTGATAAGTCCAGCAATTTAAAAAACACGATTAGATTTGTTTAACTTAGAGTATCCCAATTTTGGCTGCAAAAATCTGTTTTAATGAAACTTCTTAATATGTTTAAGAAACTTTTCTTAATATGGCATGTTTTCTAAAACATACTTTCGGAAATGCTAAAGTAGTGGTTGTCAGCAAGTTTGAGGGCTCCACCTTAGTGGCCAAGAAAAGCAGAAAGAGAACATCCACGTAGTTCGGTGTACTTCCTTCTCCGAGCTCTCGCGTCGTGTAGACAGCCAGCAGAATCCACTGGCTTCCTCTGCCGCAGTCTCCATCGTTCATTGCTTTAGTGTGAGAAGTGAAGTTTCCACTGTGCGTGGTGTACTGATTAGTGGTGAGATTCCACAGCATTTCTGTCTGCAAGTTTGAATCAAGAGAGAAACCTCTTTAGTATCAATTCATGATCACATCAAATCATGGAACTTTGTGTGGACTTAGGATTGAGGGATTCTTTAAGAATTAAAAGAAAAAATGACCTAATGATTAAATCTAAACCTAATGGTTAAATCTTCGGCAGTCTTGGTGCTGAAGGAAGCACATGACTGCGGCTGGGGCAAGCTGTGTGCACCCCTGTGTTCTTCCCTCGGGGCCGGGTCACAGACTGCTCCAGCTCCTGGTTGCCGTAATCGAGTCCCCTTCCTGCAGAGTTGTCCTGTGAGCCAGCTCTAATTGCATCTCTCCTCTTGCTGAGAAGAAGAGTTGCAGGCAGCGTGACAAAAGCACAGTGCCGTGAGGTCCTGCCGGCCGTCTTTTCCTGTCACTCACAGAGATCTCCTTTGCCCGTCGCTTGGCCCCATGCTTCCAACTGATGTTCCTGCTGCTAGCAGAAACTGTGTCTTGTCACCTCCTCTGTGTCCACGCTAGCTCACACATCCTTTCATGACTCCCAGGGCATATACACACATGTTTCACATGGCTACCTTCCTTTGGAGGAAATGTTGTTGCTGTCTGCCATGTGCAGAGAAGTGGGCTGGCTTTTATGATCGTGACTCTTAAGGGGCTGAAAAACACCCCTCACATTGCAAAGGAACGGAAACCATCTGGATAATCAGAAATGCATCTTAGATGCAGAAGTCCATGTATGAAAAACTGAGACTTTCAATGCAGCTGTTCTACTCTCCTGTCTCAGTCATTCTATGAGAAGGTGCTAAGCAAGGGACCGACCAGGCTGCGCAGCATTGCAGGGCAGGTGGTGCAGAGCAGTTTGAATGGGCCCAAGGCGGGTGGGTGGGTGTCGGGCAGAGCCACAGGCCGGCTTTCTGTAGTACGTAATGCAAAGGAGACATCTGTCCTTCCACCTGGAAATTGTCCTATTTTTAAGATGAGAGAGCCAGGCTCTCCAGTTTGCTGTTTACATTTAGTGATTAAAAACAAGTGCATAAATGTGGATCCGTCCTAGTTAGAAAAACATGGGCATAAAGGGATGTGACTCTGGCAGCAACTGTCACTCACAAAGTAAATAAGAAAGAGGTCTGCCTCTCTCTCCCTCCACACAGTGGAAGTCATTTGAAACATCTGGACCCACTCCCTAGGATCTAAGCTCTATAATTAAAATACCAGTAGTAAGTATAATTTATCATATGTCTTAGGGAACACCCTGCTAATTCATATTATTACCAATTAATTGAGCTGTATGTTACCATCTAACTGTACGTATTGAAGAACTACTTTTCTGGGGTTCATTTACCATAAAACTGGTTGTAATCTATCTTCTTGAATGTGATGTAGCAGGAATAGCATGAGCAATGATTAGGATCAGCATTTCCTCAAAGATGGTACACGCTAATATGTGGACCCCTTGTTTACTTCATTTTCATGGTGCATGTGTATGTGTATTAAAGTAATCCTGTTTACGTATTGAAGAACTACTTTTCTGGGGTTCATTTACCATAAAACTCGTTGTAATCTATCTTCTTGAATGTGATGTAGCAGGAATAGCATGAGCAATGATTAGGATCAGCATTTCCTCAAAGATGGTACACGCTAATACGTGGACCCCTTGTTTACTTCATTTTCATGGTGCATGTGTATGTGTATTAAAGTAATCCTGT